TATTTTAGAATAGAATTTGAAATAGAAAACTTTTACGGAGATATGAATTTACTCTTTAAATAGGTATGCATGTAGTATAAAACTGGTGTTTAATTTCTTAATTAAATTAAATCCACTAACTACAGAAAACAGCATAATATAAATAATATATGTTTTAAAATAATGACAATTAAAATCATCACAATATTTGAAACATCAAACATTTTATGTAGTTTTTCTAATATATCAAATGCAGTGAAATATTTCAATGAACAACAAACTTTAATATTCATCCGTGTTTTCAGAAAGTTTCCTAAAAATCTACAAGACATAAATAAAAAATAGAAGTGCGTGTAGCAAAAATGAACTGTAAGACTGCTTGAGGAAGCATGCTTCATGCACACACTTCTTTTAAAGCAAAGAGGTCATAGTGCAATGGGCCCAGCTAGTGGGAAATCGCTTCTTAAAGCTGACAGAGCATGAAAATTGCATTCTCTTTTGAAAAGTTTAAGAAGCTGATATGCAAAATTGAATAAAAGCTGAAGGTTTCTGAAGGAGGTCAGCACGTGGATGAGCAGCCGCCTGTTGGGTCGGCCCACCAGAGGCTGACCAGCCCCAGGCCACTGCTGGCTGCTGGCAGCTGGCAGGGTGCTGAGGAGCTCACCCCACACAACACGGCATCTCACTGGCCACCCACAATGGAAGATGCCTTCTTTTTGGGGGGCTTCTCAAAGCAGAAGCATCCTTAATTCTCTGCAACATCAGCAGCTTGTTTCAGGCTCGCTTGAGCTACCTTTTCACTTGCTTTACAACGCAATAAAATCAATTGCTTGTCTAAGCCAATGAATAAGCAATATAGAATGGTTTGGGTTGGAAGGGGCCTTAAAGATGACTCAGTTCCAACCCTTCCACTCGAGCAGGTTACCCAAAGCCCCATTTGCCTGGCCTTGAGCACCTCCAAGGATGGGGCACCTGCAGCTGCTCTGAGCAACCCGTTCACAAGGCTGACTGCTCTCCTGCAAGCAAGATAACCCCAGTGGCAAAAACTGCCCTTCATAGTGCCTTGCTCACTATGGAGCATGCAGAAAACAGATGTTGCTGATGAGAAAACTCTAAGATGTCAGAAGTAGGAATGTATGAGTCCACACAAACCAGAGCTGTGTACTGTCATGTGGGACTGAAGAGTACAAGACTGGTGTCACTGAGGCTGGCAAGAATTTTTCCATTGGCTTCAACAGGGTCAAAACTATCTCAGGGACATGTTCTTCCCCTTTTCCTGCTCTGACACTCATTTTCTACTGCAAACTCTCTCCTTTTGAAATCTATCAATGTACTCTCACACATATGGAGTAGAAAATCATATTGGGAATTATGCACAGAAAGTATTAATATACCAGACCTTCTATTCTATAACTCTGTGATTAAAGGTGATGGTTTTAATATTATATAGGTGCTTCACTGTATGTCTGTCAGTTACTTGACTTCTTTTACTCAGGCTGTTCCAGCCCACAGTTTCTGTGCTGTATGTGGTCAGCCATGACCAAAGCAGTGGAGGATGAATACAAAAGCTGTGCTTTCTCTGCTCTACAGCACCAGCTGCCCATGCTCTATGTGGAGAATGAGCACAGTTTCCCAAATGTGCTTGGGTGAAGCGAAGTACTGAGAAAACAGGAAATTTCCAGGGAAAGAAAAATGCATGTGAGCATGCATGGGATTTGAATGGCCATTGATGAATAATGACAGTGCAAAGCCTAATCAAGGTAAATGTGTTTCATACTGTCTAATTTCCTACAGGTCACCAGTATCTTCATGTTTCCTTCCTCCTCAGTTGCTACTAAAAGTTGTACAGGCAGGTTCTGGAAAGCATGTTTTTATATGCAAGGGCTCACAAGTGTGGGATCTGAGAAATAAACCGCAACAAGAAAAATCCATGGAACAAACAAGTCTTCTGTTTTGCTGCTCTACACCCATTGTGTCATCTGCATATGAATGAGTGCATGTGAGTTTTAAGTAAGCACATCTCTTCTTTACTTCAGGTTTACTTCCAGCAGTTCTTGAAAGAACACGGTAAAAAAAAATTAAAGCTAGCTTTCTGTTCTTCTCTACAGCTATGACATTGAAGTTGGAACTATGTTTTTGTGTATCTGTTGTGGGTGGAAGGAATTTTGTGGCAGAAAAGAAAACAAGCAAATGTTCCCATTCTTGGTTTAAAAAATTTTTCATTTGATTGAAATTGGCCACTAAGACTCCAAAATTAATATGGGATAGAAACACTTATGCAGTGGGAGCAGCCTCAACGTGGGCTGAGCACACAGCCTGCAGCTCTCTGGGGAAACCATTAAGCCCTGGAGTTTGCCAAAACACTGCTCCTACTCAGAGCATGGACACTTGGCTCAAGACTATCGCCATCAGGCAGAACATAGAGCATGCATCTGAGACCAGGGATCCAAAGCAGGTCTGGAATCAGGGGACATGATGGCAGGGTGTCTTGTAGGAGAACAGCTCAGTTGTTGGAGCATTCTTCAAAGAAGGAGAGAGATTCCTTGGCTGAACACTCAACTTTTAAATCAGGCTCAAATCCTTGATCCACTTGTTCCAGAAAAAAAATTGTGCAATTCTGCAGTGGCACATACATCTTTCCTACAAGCACCATGAAGAAAGTTTGCTGTGATTATGGAAGAGAACCAACTCTAAAACATTTTAAGCATTAACCAAACCAGCTCTGTCAATGCCATGCGAGGGCACCAGGAACAAGGAACAAGAGGACTACCAGGGTGAGTATTGCAACACAACTCATGAAAGAAAGCAGGTTGTGGTGTGACTCATAATTCAACCTTGAGAAGTTGCTTCTGCTAAAATGACCTCAGAACTTTCACCATGGTGACGGAAACTTGGATAAAATGAAATGCAGGTTACATCAGAAAATGGTTTATCAGAGCTGCTGAGTTAAGAAGCCAGTCTGTAATATTTGAGATATGTCACGGGATGCTGGCTTAATGGTTATGACACTGCCAGGTCAAATGTCTATGAATTTTCATACAATAAAGACTTGGCGACTACATCTTGAGTAATAACTGAGGGTATTGAGGCTGACAACTTTTTAAGAACCTCATTTTTCATCATTGAGATAGTTGGTCCGTTCCACTGACTAAACTTAGAAAAATGAAGTTGATGCAGCACCAGGCACTGAGCACTGTGCTTCCTCTGCATCCCGTTCAGCCTGCCCACATTACACCACTGCCTTAAGGACAGCAGTGTAAATTAAACATGAGGAGGTCTCAGGACAATGTGTTACAGACAAATAAGTTTTACAAAAATCAGTCTGAAACTACATTTAACCTGTCAGTGTCCCTTTCATATAACGGATGCATGCAAACAAGCTGTAATCCCAAATCACCTCCACAGATTTTCATCATCTTGAAAGATCAGCCCTCAAATTGAAGCTGAAAGCAAACTGTCAATTTCTGGCTGATACACAACCACCAAAAGCAGGAGCCCAAGACTTGCACATAGAATATTCTTGTCTGCAGAAAAAGGTCATCATTCTGCATGCAGTAAGAATTGTTAAGATTTACTATAAGCAGGAAATATTTTGCATGAATCTGCATGGAAGATACTTAAGAATACAGATTTTTGTCTGAGAGCAGGAGTAGTTATATGAAATACTAGTTTTGTTTTCTGTTCTCAAGGAACATCACGCTTGACAAGCATGTCGGTCTGCTGTATTGACAGGCATTGAAACTGCATGCAGAGCTGCCCAGGCTTGCACATGCCTGGAAAAGGAAAAAGGACTCCAGGTAAGAAACAGCTAACAGTACTGAGCACTGGTTTTGTGCTCAAGTTCAGTGAATGTGATTTAGTTAACTCTAGTTAGGCTTCAGAAAAGCACAGGTAACTTGGTAAGATTTAGCCTGACCTTTTGCCCATTATAGACCATTAAATCACCTAACAGTCCCCTTGGCTTTAAAATCCATCAATTTCAGGATTTTCACTGCAGTCAGTTTAAATAGGTCCCAATAATCAACTCTTATTCCAATGGTTTTTATTTACATTTACAAAAAATTGCTTCTTTTCCATAGAAATATAGGAGATATATCTTTAATTCCAGTAACAATTGATCCCAATGAAGAAGCGGGATATCCCATTTTCAAACAGGAAAGACACTCGCAGTTTCTCTCCCCGTCGCACATCCTGGAACGCAGCAGTTCGGAACTCGCAGAAGACGCCCAAGCAGAAGCTGCCCGCTCCGGCGGCTGCTCAGCGCCTCCCGGCCTCCCGCCGTGCGGTCAGTGAGCTAAGGGGCGCGGGGACGGCGCAGCCCCGAAGCGCGGCGGAGCGCCCGGCAGCGTCCCGCCGAGCCGCTGCATCGTCTGCACGCGTAGAGCAGCCGCTGCCCCGCGCCATGCCCGGGCGGCCACGCTTCAGGCATTCCCGGCCGAGGGCTGCAGAGCGGTTCCATGCAAGAGAGGCCGAGCGCGAGCCCGCCCCGCCCGTCCCGTCCCGTCGGCAGCGGGGGCTCCTCAGCCACCCCAGTCCCCACTCGGTCCCGGCTGCCACGCGCACCCGCCTCGGCTGCGGGGAGAGCGCGGCTGGGCGCGGCCGTACCTTGCTGAACACCTCCAGGTCGTCCTCATCGTCGTCGAACGCCAACACCTCGGCGGAGGCGGTGAGCAGCGGCGTCTGGGCCGCACCGGGGGCACCCGCGAGGGGCTCGAGCCCTCCCCCGCCGGCGGGGGGCAGCGTCGGCTCCGGCGTCCGGCCCTCCGCTTCCATCCTTCCCACGAGTGCGGGCGGCGGCCCCACTGGAGCCGCTCCCCGGGGCGCCGCAATTGGCCGCCCGCCGCTCCGCCGACCCCGGCCCGGCCCAGGGCAGCCCCGGGGCGCGCCCAGTGCGCAGGAGTGGAAGAGGCGGTGGCGGGAGGGCCCGACAGCCGGGACGGGGCGGGATGCGGCGGGACCGGGGCGGAGCGCGTGCTGCGGGCGGGCGGGGACGGGGCGTCCCTGTAGAGGTGGTTGGAAGGTGGGGGCCGCTCAAAACGCCCGTACGTGATTTCGTGGAGGTGTGGGGGTGACGGCTGCGTATGACCGGGTCTCTCCGAGATCACTGTGGTCTCGGCCACCCGCTGGTAGCTGCTCACCGGGGGTGCTGGGTGAAAGCGGTGGTCTCTGCAAAATGGTGAGTCCTGTGTTGAGCTTAGGAGAAGCAGCCACCGGTTTGTTTCCTGGGAAGTCTTAGGGAGTGTCTCAGCACGGACTGTGTGCCCGGGTTTTATTCCCCTGCTCCGGGCCCGTTTCGCTGTTGCAAGCCCAGCTGGAAAGCAAAACTTATTCCTGGACCCTCACGTGCTCTGGATGGCCTTTCTGTTGGTGGCCGGTCTGGGGTCCGGTCTTCAACCTGATGACAGAATTGGAGGTGACTTTGGCTTTTACTTAGACACGTTAGCACCATGTCACATGAGAAGGAGTGTGGGCTCAGCCTAAACCGAGGGGGAACTCTGCTGTGAATTCCTTTGCAGGTCCTCCAGCAGGCAGGCTGTACAGTGTACTGCCCCTTGGTTCTCAATCTGTCAAATTAGAAAGGGCAAAACCCATAATGAAATGAAGGTCTTTCCAAAGCCACTCATTTGTGTAACACCCGGAGCAGTTGGTGAGAACATTCATGTCGGGCTTCTCAATGGAGTGATGAGCTACAGATTTAAATAGAGGGAAAATGAACACTGAATATTCACTGAACCGTGCTAAGGAGAAAGAGGGTATGCATATGTATTTAATGTATAGCAAGACACTTTGATGTTTGAAGGGGAAAAAAAAAAAGAGAACAAACATCAGCCGGAGCTCTACGTGCTGCCGGTAGAGCCCCGCGGAGAGCTGCGCGCTCGCAGGCGGCCGCCACCAGGGGGAGCTACAGCTGTGCTCCGCCCGGCTCCGCGCCGTGCGGCCGCGCTCCCACCGCCTGCCCGCCTGTCTCCTGCAATCCGTGCTGCTCCTTCCCGGCCTCCGGCTGTCCTCGTGTACCAGCTGCTGATTGGAAACCGGTATCGCGAGGTTACTTCCCTTTCTAATCGGTTCTTCGTACGTCGGCAGTAAGAGGGGGGCAGTCTTCTGACTGCTGATCCGCAGAGGTGATGGATGAGCATTGTGCCCTCTCTGGGTTTGTTTTTATTCCTCTGTTTTTAAGTGCCCAAGACATGCCATGTTTCTGAATGAAGCACCCGCAGCCTGTAAAATGCCATGTTTTTTATGTGTTTGTATTTAAATTCAGGTGTTATACTCGTGAGGCAGTAATGGAATAAAAGGAAACTTAGCAAGGACCAGGAATGCAGACAGCACGCGTTAGGGATGATAAATAAGGGACAGCAGTCAAAAAAAGTATAAAACTGATCTACTGCAGTCTTGAATACTAAGGCTGTCATCTCTCTCATACTAATTTTTCAAAATTTTACCATTCTCTTGGGTTCTTTATTTCTGTTGGAGAATATACTTTAATTGGATTTTTTTTTTCTTTTTATAGTTTTTTATTATCTCATTAATCAAGCTTAACAATTTTTAGATTGCTCAGCGGTGGTACTTTGCTTTCTGTGCTTTATATTTGAGGTACCAGTCTGTGCAAAAAAGGTATTCATTGTCCTTTGCTCTGGGAAAAATTGGCATATAAGAGTCCCTTGGAATTTCAGTCATCACCAGAAGCTGTGCTGGAACACAGCAGGAAACTTTCCTATCCTCACGGGCACCTGCCTGTCCCATGCCTACCCCAGCTGTGCCTAACTGATGGGAGGGCACAGGGAACCCAGCTGTGGCTTTGGGACATCCTCTCTTCCCCAACAAGGCCCAGCTACCAGCATTTCTCTGCCCTGCAGGATTTAGCAAACAGAGCTCTTTACAGACTCAGGAATTCGTCACCGATTTTCTGGCATAGGAGCAGAGACAACTGTAAACAGCTGAATATTTGAGACACTGTGGGAGCACAAACACAGAGTTACACCTAGCAGAAGCTATTCACAGGTTTCTCTTGCGCTATTTCAAAAGTCCATTGCTGTAGATCTTGGGTTTCTTTGTGCACGTGTGTGCCGGGGATGTGCATGTGTAACTACAAATATTCTTCCCTGAGTTAGGTCTTGGTAATAAAGATCAATACGTCAGAAGTCTTCATGCCGTGAATGTTACTGCCACACTAGCTATTGCACTGAGACCGTACTTAGAAATATTTTGGAAAGGAAATGTTATACGTTGTAAAATGTGGTGTTTTCTAAGTAACTGTTCAGTTGCTGTGAACTTCTGTGAAGTGTTCCAGGCCCTCCTACTGGGGAACACTGGGTGCAGCACTTGCATGTGCAGGGGCTGTGCTGCAGTTGCCTCCAACTTTTATTTATACAGTTAAGCCTGAAAAGCTGTTTTGTATTACAAAATTGTCAGTGTTGCACTGCTTGCATTTCCCCTTTTTCCTTGCTAAGAGTGTTGATCCTTGCTAGTAATCCCTTCCAGAGTTGCTTTTTCCTGAACAAATTAAATTTACAAACACCGAAGCAGAACCGAGCTGTTCCTTTGCTCTCATGTGCAGGCTGCATGTGATCCCTTTAGGGCACAATACCACTTTGAATACTTAATGTTGACTTGTCGAGTTTCACCAAATGCACAGTGATATGGATGGGATTAAATCCTGTTTGATTTCCTGTCCTCCCTAGCCAGGCAGTGGGGGGTGCGGAGGGCTCACAGTGTTTTACACTGTTCTACCACTGAAGTGCAAATAATAAGCATATTAGTGAATCTGCTGACATCCAACACCTTGGCACAAATGAGAACAGTTTTCCAGATCTAAAATGCATTGTCAAGTAGAATTCTTGTCAGGGTTATCTAATGTATAAGCAGAAGTCATTACGTTTACACCCAGAAGATAGTTTGATGGTGAATTAAGGGCTGACCTTCCTATCATACTCTTTATTAGAGCAGGCTTTACTGTAAGCTCCATATAATGGCTCAAAATCAGGTTAACTCTTTGTGTGCCACGCCTGAACTGGTGGCAGAGTCAGTGTTAAAGCTCTTGGGTAAGATGTGCGTGGCTTTGCTTTCCAACTGGGTGCTGTGCTGAGGCTGAAAGGTAACTCTTGCTCTTCTATTGCCTTCTTGTTGTTGCTACTATGCTAAGAATAGGAGGTACTTTTATCGATGTATTGTAAAATGCTTCTGTTGGTGGGTGAATGCCAGGCTTGTTTATTTCAGAGACCATCAAAAGGTCTTTGTTTTCTGACTACCCAAAGGAAATTACAGTGTAGTGTTCTCATAATCATGTTATCTTTTTTTATAGTTGCAGATCAGTTTTATGACATTGTAGATGCACAAAGCCCTGATCGATACCTAGAGACTTGCTATACTTTTAAGTTATGTGACTCTGCCAAATTTTAGACATAAAAATATTCCAGGTAAAGCATTATTGGGTTTTGTAATTTTTTTACCACATCTAAAAACAGTTGCTGAGCTTCATTGGATGTGAAAGCATTGATTTTTTTGGTAATACTTTGAACTGCTGTCAGAGTCAGTCTGTTCTGATGTAGCATTATCTCTTCTGTTGAAGGAATAGTTTCATTTTTCCAAATAATTGCTGTTCTTCTCATTTTTGATGAATAGTGTGTTTAGCAATCTATATTTTATGGCGTGAAATATTGGAGTGCCTCTGAGTCTGAAAGTATCCAAGAAATATATTAATACTTAACATACCTCTGAAGGTTTATCAGATTAATTTGATAAATGTATTGAAGTTCTTATCTTACTTTTCCTGATGTCGAGTTTGGGAGCTCTGAACTTTTGGTAGAAGGAAGGAGATTAACACTGGGCCTCTGTATTGCCTGTTTATGACCAGATGTGGTCCTGTCTGCTAAATAACTGGAAATAAATGACAGCAACTGATAGGAATGTTACGCATTTACAGATGTCTGCTTGTAACTGAAGTTGAAGAATGAAATATCTGAGCTGTTGCAGTGCAGTCCACATGCTCTGCAAGTGCTCTGCAAGCCTGTGTGATCTGTGGCGAGAATCTCTTGGCGTGGAAATGGGCTGAACAAATTGATCTGGGTGTTGTGTCACGGGGCCAGTAAGCCTGACTGGAATGCTGGCAATCTGCTACAGAAGTCTTTTTGGCTAGAAATAGGTGGAGAATTCACTGCCTGTACTGGCCTCACCGTCTGGCACAGTCAGCCAAGAGCTGGGTAGCAGTGCAGCCACCAGCTGTTGCCAGGGGCCCCGAGGTGCACAGGCACCCATGGCAATGTACCCTGCTGCTGCAGCCGGGGAAGCTTCTCAGCCTTCTATGGGCACAATTTGCTAGTGCTTGGGCAGCTAAATCCTGGGTGCTGTGTTATTGTAAAGGGCAGTGTCTCAGGGTCATTCTTGGTAAAGTATGTCCCTTTTTGTTCTACGGAGATCGGAAAATGTAAAAGACTATTAATGCAGAGGAGGAAGTATAGTTCTGGATGGTGGATTGTGGCCGAGAGGAAAGAATGCAAGCAATGCAGCCACAGAGAGGAATTTTAAAGCATATATGTGAGACTGCCAAAATGAAAATTGCAGCCGAAAGAAGTGAGCCAGCAGTCTAACTACAATCGATATCTAGATTAAGTAAACAATTACAGCCTGCCAGGGAAACTGAAGTGTCTTCAGGTGTAAATTCTGGTTTATTTAGTTTATTTACCTTTTTTGCCATTTATGAAGAGTGAGGTTTCTTTTATTTACATCTTTTTGCAGCCTGCAAGGTAAAGGCAGTGTCAGTTTGTCACTTATTCCTTGTAAAGAAATGATACAAGCCAGTTAATAGTTGAAGTTATTTTGAAAATCTGACTACCAGAAAGTTACAGAAGTGACCAAAACAAGTATGTCTGAGTCGATACAGTTAGAGAATGTTGGAGAAGCAGGCGTGGGAATAAATAAAACATGTAATGGGGTAATATTAGAGTACTTTATAATGCTGACCTTGCCCAGCGTAGACCCTAGAATGGAAACAGTTGTGTTTGCAACATTTTAAAAGTTTTCTCACCAAATATTAAGATGTGGAAAAGCTCTTGCATGATAACTTGGCAGTTGGTCCACCAGAATATAATTTCTCTCCTTGCAAGGTTTACAGTAATGTTGTTAAATAGCTCAACGTTGTTTTAATGCCATTAAAAGATATACCTAACTCCAAAACAG